CTCCAGACCTAATTAAACAAACCTGTACCAGCTGATCAAGGACTTCAGGATTTCTAGCAACTTCTGTGCTGGCGTGTAGGAGCTAAACTCCCTCCAGGAGCAGGACTGGACACCCCTGTGTTAGGATGTTGTGGATGGTTACCAGGGTGTTGCTGTATGGTTGCTAAGGTGTTCTGAATTGTTATTAGCACATGCCTATGCAGTTGCTAACTTGATAGAGTGTTGTGGGTGGTTGCATGTTGGTTCCTTTCAGGCCCAAGCCAAAAGAGCAGATTCAGTTCACCATGATTCATTTTGTTATTCCAGAAGTTTCAAGAACTGTATGTTTTTCGGCAAAAATAATTTAGAGTTAGATTATTTGGTATCACTTTACTAAAAAGGTCCCATTTGTTAACATGAACATCGAACAATACTTCTAAAGCATTTATTAATCTTACTTAATGTTAATTTCAACATTAATGCATTATTAAAATCAAAAGTTACAGTAACATGATTTAATAATGCACATGTATTTTTATTAAGTAATGTTAACAAAGATTAATGAACACTGTAACAAATGTGTTGCTCATTTTAGTTGATATTAATGAATTAAGTAACAGTGACTAATCGGCCGGTATTGTAAAGTGTTAATGATTATTTTAATATATTAATAGCAGTTTATTAATTTAAATAAAGTCAACCTGGAACTTTGCTGAGGCCCCCTAGTGGCCCCCGACGTCATGGTTGCGATCCCAGGTCACTCCATAAAATAATTTTATGCGATTGTTTTGCTCATTTGCTTGTCTGTTCATTTGTTTGTCTTCCACTGAAAATATGTGGGAAATCTTCACCAGACTGATAGCATTCAATAACTGGTGGGAGACTTTAGAAAAGTATGCTATTAGTAAATTACTCAAATGCAAACAGATCTTGTCTAATGCTTGGTGGTTTCCCGATGCCAACCACTTTTAAACCTCAAACCAAGATTGCATGTCTGGTTTAGCCTCAGATTGGATGTTCAGCTGCTGACTGCTGATGTGGGCAAGAAGTTACACATTCCTTACCTCCTCATCACTGTCAGAGGAATAGCTTGAAGGATAAAATGAAACCACATTAAAAGCGAAACTTCCTACAAAAGACCTTAGTTGCTTTGACACAGCTATACTTTCTATTCTATTGTTCTGTATTTCTCCACACTTAAGCTCTATACTTCTTTACTGTGGTAGAAGTGCCTTGAAAGAATCCACTCCGCAATGGCACATGGATGCATACCGATGCATGTTGAAAAGGGCCTGCTGCTGATTGCTTCAATCACAAAAATGTGCATACATCCCCAAGGATCATGATTTTGTGGCTATAATCTTGTTAAGATCCCAGTTCTTGTTTTTTGTTTGTTGTAATATTGTACCATGTGGTGAGTTGCCAAATTTGAATACTGTAGTTACAGCAAAGTTGAAAACCTTTCCCACACAAGCACTAAGGTTTGTTCATATAGTGCCTTTTGATTTCAAGAAATGCAGTTTTCCTCAGCTAATTTTGTGCTAAATGCACTTTATTTGTGCGGAAGTATTGCTGAAGTCCAACTAAAGATATACTGAAGTATATTTGATTGTGCTAAAGTGGAACTATTGCAAGTATACTTTAGGTACACTTTAAATATCTTTAAAGACCGATATTATTCAAAGATTATACAGTCCTCATCAATAGTGATGTTAAAACACATTTTAGGCTTAATATTAAGAAATGTGCATTGTGCACAAGTAGTACTCCAAACAAAGTTTAATTATAATTTTTATTTCAGTAAGTCTCGAGTGATGTAATAGATTTGAACTATACTTAGTATGAAATAAATGTATTTGAAATATATAATTTTTTTTTACTAGGGCACTTTTTATTGTTATAATGTATTTTATTTGTATTTTCACTAGATAGTTTAGAGGTTTGAGGCATACAGTATGTGAGCTCCCCTAGTTCCTTATCTTCCTTTAAGCTATATGGAATAACTTTTGAACTAACAGAGTTACATCTGCAAACATTAATAAAAAAGGCTTGTGTTCAGCTGTCCAGCCACATAATAGATCACCATTATAGAGATATAATAAGTTTAAGGGCTTTTTGCCTCTACAGGACAAGTGAGACGGGACCAGAATTGGTATGTGAAACATATCATAACTCCTTAGGCTCTTCATATTATGTTAACTAACCACTGTGCCACAGCTCTAACAATATATATATATATATATTTAATGCTGCTAATAATTATTTCTTAGTAATAGCAGCTTTAACTGGCCTCAGAGCAAGCACGGTCATGTGTATGCTAATCTTCAGTCTTGTTTTATATGGGAATACTTCATAATGGGGGCCTGATTGAGTGGTTATATTTAGCCAGTCTTCACCCTTGAAATGCAGTCACAGCCGGGCTCTTCTCTGGAAACACCCATATGCATCAGTCTTATATTGAAGGGTTTTTAGCTCTTTGAGCCCCAATATGTGTGTGTGATGCATTTGAGGGGCCAATATCAGATGAACTTTCTCTGGTCTGTTGAGTCGAGGAGGAGTAAGTTGTCAAATCACACTTCACACAATCACACTTTCTGCTGTCAATACTTGTTCCTTACCTGCCCTTTTATAAGCAATGCCTTGAATAATTCTATCAATAAATTGCTCTGTACTCTATGTAAAAAGAGTTTAAATGTTGTATTGTGTCGCCCCCGTTTGGTCAGCAGTGAGTATTACTAGTGGTTATGACAATGAAGTCCAGTCATTTTACTACTCTTACTATGCTATTCTTTGACATTTCAAATTTGTTCTACTACAACGCACAAAAATAAATACTACATATTATATATAACTTTATTTTATTTCTGTATATATTTTCAATTTTTTCTAACACTCAAATTGAATGACTGAAATTTCTTCAAAGTTGGGTAAACTATAATATATATATATACTGTATATATATGATTAATGAAAATAAAAGTTTGTTTACATAATATATGTGTGTACTGTGTATATTTATTTAACCTAGGAGGTAGGGGTGCTCCGATTGATCGGCTACCGATCACTATCGGCCGATAATCACGTTGGGATGATTGATCGACGGTCTCTAAAAAGCCGATCTCAAAAAAACGATCTCAAGCTGATGACGCTGCTGTGAGAGGTTTGGCACGACATTCAGCGACACCGTATCAGTCTCTGTCCCTGTCCGGCGCGGGTGAAATAATTATAATAATTATAATCATATCTTTTAATTAAATAACTTATAAAGTAATTTGAACATTTATAAAGCGTTCACTGCACACGGATATGGTCCAGCAGTGCGTTCCAGTAGCGGCGCATCTGCAGCAGTGCAGAGATCGATTCCGTACCAAGTCTATTGCTGCGCTGCAAGCGAAGAATTAAAGTAATGGCGCATTGTTTTCAGTAAATATGAACATGGATTGACACGAAAATGTAGTAATTACCATAAATGCATATTATTAAAGTCTACTGTATTTCACAGTCAACACATGTAAGCCATATGTGTTGACTGTGAAATACAGTAGACTTTAATAAGGTTAGTTGGTTAGTTTTAAAGGAAAAGAGCACTTTTAGATAAACAAGGCAATAAGAGATGGCACTAGTGGAGGTAGGAAAACAAAGTTATTTATGAACCGCAGGATTGCTTGTAATTAAATGCAAAAAGGAAAGGCAGTAGCGCTGACTATTTCTGTCAATGGTAAGTTTGTGATAATGTAAGAAAAGTAGTTTAAATGTTTTGACAATTGCTTGAGCAACTTAATATATAAATCTAGAAGTAAATGCAAAAGTAAAAAGCATTGAATAATGCGTTGCTTATATTTATTGAGTTTAAACATGTCTGTGAAAGATTGATTGTATTATTGTACTGGGTAAAAAAAGAATCACAATGTTGAAAAAGCATTTTCAGTGACAATGTTTGGATTTGAAATCAAAATAATGGATAAATGTTGTGTTTGTGGTAAACAGCCACGGATCAGTAGCAGACTCCTGTGTGAAAGCTGCTTCCCCTCTCACAAGAGTCACCTAAGAGGGGAATTTCCCCCATTTTCAAAAATGAAATTCAGGCCCTGAATAAATGTCTAAAAATCCTGATTGGAGTATCAATATAAATAGTTATAAATGATAAAAAGAAGGCTTTAAAAAGATCGGTATCGGTGATCGGTATCGGCAGATACTGCTTTCTGCGATCGGTGATCGGCCTCAAAAACCCTGATCGGAGCACCCCTAATAGGAGGCGTGACAACGGAGTTGAGGATCCATCTGCAGGCTTTATTTCATTGAGTGTATTCAGAACAGGCAGGGTAAAACACCAGCAAAACTGTAACATCCAAACCACAGGCAAAAGAGAAAACCACAAAACAGGCAATGGTCAGGACAGGCAGCAAACGATCAAAAAACAAGGTAAACAGTCCAAGGTCAAAAACACGCCAAGACAAGGCAAGGAAACACAGGTAAGAAACACAGAAAACACAATGGCGATACAGGTTAACAATACTCAGCCATGTGTGTGAGTGTAACCTGTCTAGTCCTCCTGATCGGAAACAGCTGAAGTCAAATAATGAGTTTCTAGGCAGAGGGTTATGGGAAATGGAGTCCGGGGGGTTGAGTGGCCTCTAGCGGAGCTCATGGGCACTCCAGCTGGAGATTGTAACAAATTATATGTATATAAAAACACACATACGTGTGTGTGTGTATATATTTAAGAAATAATTATATATTTATATTTATTTATGGTTTATGTTATGTTATATGTATGTGTTTTTATATATATAAATGTAAATATACACAGTACACACACACACACATATTATGTAAACACAAACTTTTATTTTGGATGTGATTAATCATGATTAATCGATTTTACAGCCCTAATTTTTATTTATTCATCTAGCAGATGCTTTTATCCTAAGCAACTGTACAAATGAGGAATACAGCAAAGCAATTGATTTTAGGAAGGCTCTGTACTTCTATCTCTTATATCCATTTTTGTCTCATTTTAGGGTCAACCTGGGGAACCTGGACAGATGGGCAGCATTGGTCCTGAGGGTATTATTGGGGCCCCAGGGCCAGTTGGGCCCAAAGGAGAAAATGGCCATGTAGGACGCAAAGGCCCCCCTGGACCAAATGGAGATAAGGTCAGATTTTATGAAGGGGCATTATTTGTTTTTATTCTCGATACTTTGTGAATGTAATGAAATGTTTACAAATGTGTATATGCCTTCATATTAGATCTAAATACAGGAAATGTGCCTTCATATTAGATCTAAATACAGGAAACAATGCATAGTGTACGTGATGGTACAAAATGCCTTTGTGTGTTTTATTAATTATTTGACAGGGTCCAATGGGTGTTCCTGGGTTTTCTGGTAATGGTGGAGTTCCAGTGAGTACACAGTTCTTGTCTCTTACTATAGTTTCACCCTTTACAGAAAATGGTTAACTAAACTGTTTTTACAATCCTGTGCAGGGACACCCAGGTCAGGAGGGGCCCAGGGGACCTCTAGGTTTAGATGGCTGTAATGGCACACGAGGTGATCCAGGTGACAGAGCCCGTGATGGATTTCCTGGTCTTACCGGTGCTCCTGTAAGTTTGAGGGCTTTTTCTGCATCTCAAGAAGATTGTAGCATATGATATTTACCAAATTGAATAATAGTAGACATTTCACTTACTAAAGAAACAAATCATCTCATCAAAAGCCAGTTGAATTCTTTATTTATTTTTGAGGATCACATATATTTCTTTATTTAAAATTGTATTAAATAATGGTATACAAACATTTTTATTATAACACAGTTTCAATAACCAATTATAAAAAAGCTCAATGCACCAGACACTGACATGTAAACTTAATTTTTATTTTGACACGTTGCATGCTCAGTTGCTTATTAGTGTAATACTTTTTGTCCATGAGCGTAGCTGTGAAAATTTAGTGATATAATTCATAAAGTATAGATCAGTTTTCATTTACAAGGATTCATTTTCATTATTTTCCCTCTTGATTTTAGGGACTCTCTGGTCAAAAAGGTCAAAAAGGAGAACCATATTATATAGATCTTTCTGGACAAGTAAGTTGCAACCATCATATGATATTTACCAAATTGAATAATAGTAGACATTTCACTTACTAAAGAAACAAATCATCTCATCAAAAGCCAGTTGAATTCTTTATTTATTTTTGAGGATCACATATATTTCTTTATTTAAAATTGTATTAAATAATGGTATACAAACATTTTTATTATAACACAGTTTCAATAACCAATTATAAAAAAGCTCAATGCACCAGACACTGACATGTAAACTTAATTTTTATTTTGACACGTTGCATGCTCAGTTGCTTATTAGTGTAATACTTTTTGTCCATGAGCGTAGCTGTGAAAATTTAGTGATATAATTAGTATAGATCAGTTTTCATTTACAAGGATTCATTTTCATTATTTTCCCTCTTGATTTTAGGGACTCTCTGGTCAAAAAGGTCAAAAAGGAGAACCATATTATATAGATCTTTCTGAACAAGTAAGTTGCAACCATTTTTTATGAAACCCAAGCAAATAACTATGTAACGATTAACCGCAAGCCGGTCGAAAATCAATTCAAATATGTGACGATTGAGATCGGTTGAGATGCCAAACAAATCGCGATACAATTGGAGTAGGAGTTTATATGAATGGATCTCTGAGGGCAACTGACTATCTTTAGAAAAGTTTATGTGGTATTTTCTTTTCATCTTGCCTCTGAACAATGCATATTAAAGTAGTGAGCGCAGCTCTGCTCTGTTTACAGCGGTAACCCAGGAAACACTGTATCAATAGCCGCCTTTCCACTGTCAGGCCAGTGCGAGCCAGTGCTTTAAATTGGCCGGGCGGGGCTAATAGCCTCGGACCTGTAGCACCAAGACCAAAATCACGCTGCATTTCCACCGTCGGGCCAGAAGCTCCACTGCGCTTCACTAAAACACGCCCTTTACACGCCTCTCAGGAACAACGTCACGAAACCCCATCATTTCACCAACAAAGAGAAGTTATCAGAAAACTAATAAGAAATAAGTCACTGGAACTAGTGCGATCACAAAACGAACATGATAAAAGCGGCCGTTTGTTTGCATACTTTGTTAAAGATTTAAATCCAAAAGCATCAAAGTTTTACAATAATAAGTGATACATTGATCATAATGAATTAATTTATCAGGATTGAAAATTAGTCACACAGAAATAAAGCGGTATGAACATAGCCTACCTACTTATTCAGTCGAGTCTGTTTCTGTTTATTTGTAGTCACAGAATATACATCACATTTAGAAAGAATGATAATTTCTCCCGAACAAAAACCATTATTATATTTTTTATGACATATGCGGAGCTAAACTCTCGAGACAAGACTTATGACAGATAAAATATGTTACTAAGTAAATACACGATTGTGATAGAGAATACCTGTAAGAAGCTGACATCTGATTTCTTCAAGCGGTCGTATTTACCATGTTTACTGTGGTAACGTTAATGGCTAGCGTGCATAGTCTTTTGCATCGCTTATAAATATTTTTGCCTTGTATGCGATCATAATCCACATCGGATCAAGTTATTTCAAACACTCGCTGCTGTCTGAAAGTGAGTTTTGAACTAAAATTATTTTAAAAGTCTTTATTGCTGATGTTATAGCTGTTAACTTTCTGAAATGATCCGTGGCGCTGACGCTCTCCAGACATGGAGAAACTCCGCCTTTGTTTATAACCACTCCTCTAGCCCCAGCTGGCCTGCTTTGGCCCAAGGTTTTCGTCGGGCCAAAAAACCCGGGCCGTTAGCCCCGAGGAAGCACCGACGAGGCACGATCAAGCCCTGGAAGTGACAGTGGAAACGCGACTGGCCCTGGCCCTGGCACGCACTAGCACGCCCACTTTTGGCCCGACAGTGGAAACGCGGCTATTGCTGTTCATGAGCACCACCTGCTCTCAGAAGCTAAGTTTCCATCCAGTTTTTGCACTGTTTTGTTATCGATAAAGAGAATATGCGTTAAAAAAAACAATGCGAAAATTGCTGTCTACAGCGTGTTTCCATCCAACTGGCCTTTTACCGATAAAATGCTGTGCGTGATGACGTCATCCCTAAAAAAACGAATTGTCGCATAAGTTTTGGTGTATCACAAAATAAATTGCCCTTGAACTCTTAAGAAAGCGGCATCCTGTTTGTTTCCTTTATTTTACAAAAGCACAACGATTTGTTTTTATTGTGAATGTACACAAATAAAGGAATATTTAGAATAGTTTTGAATAATGTCTTACTCACATATGACCACAAATGAAGGAGTATAGTAACACCGTGTCTACACCTGACGCGACAATTGCCTCGCCACTCATGTCTGGTGTAGATGATGTAAGTTGTTTCCATTTTTAAAAGGAGACAAAAAAAACAAGTGATTGTGCCGGTGCCTCACTCGCGCAGCTAAGCATTACTAACTGGACATTGTCATAATAAAATACAGTCAGCCAACATTGAAAACCATGCTATTTTAGTTCCCCTCTCTCCACAACAAATAGGCCTATACTTTAAATTTAACGGTAGAACAGAACAGAAATAAAAAATATAAGAAGCTACTAACAAGCCAAAACTAATTAATTAAAAAGTTTGTACTTCATGTTCCAACATCCACGTAAAACAAAATGTGCTTGGCATAGTAATGTCACGGGGGTATGGTGGCCACGCTGAACGGCACGGACTACAGGCTATTTAAACTGAGCAGTGCAGTGTAAAAAATAACATAAATGTAGGCTACTACAGGAACATCAAATTAAGGTAAGTATGTTTGAGAGGTAACTTGTCTTTTTCTTACCAAATATAAAATAATTTTAGATGCAATAATATGAATATGATTTAATGCGCTTTTGAACTACAGGGAAAGGGTGCTTTAACGTGAGCAACACCATGACCACGGACGCTGGATATAGGCTAATTCTGCCATGTGACACCACATTTATTTGCGTTAAAGCCCCTTTTCTCGACAAAAAGTGTTTCCAAAATTTTTTTGCAACATTTGAAGTATCGGTATTTACCATGTTTACTGTGGTAACGTTAATGGCTAGCGTGCATAGTCTTTTGCATCGCTTATAAATATTTTTGCCTTGTATGCGATCATAATCCACATCGGATCAAGTTATTTCAAACACTCGCTGCTGTCTGAAAGTGAGTTTTGAACTAAAATTATTTTAAAAGTCTTTATTGCTGATGTTATAGCTGTTAACTTTCTGAAATGATCCGTGGCGCTGACGCTCTCCAGACATGGAGAAACTCCGCCTTTGTTTATAACCACTCCTCTAGCCCCAGCTGGCCTGCTTTGGCCCAAGGTTTTCGTCGGGCCAAAAAACCCGGGCCGTTAGCCCCGAGGAAGCACCGACGAGGCACGATCAAGCCCTGGAAGTGACAGTGGAAACGCGACTGGCCCTGGCCCTGGCACGCACTAGCACGCCCACTTTTGGCCCGACAGTGGAAACGCGGCTATTGCTGTTCATGAGCACCACCTGCTCTCAGAAGCTAAGTTTCCATCCAGTTTTTGCACTGTTTTGTTATCGATAAAGAGAATATGCGTTAAAAAAAACAATGCGAAAATTGCTGTCTACAGCGTGTTTCCATCCAACTGGCCTTTTACCGATAAAATGCTGTGCGTGATGACGTCATCCCTAAAAAAACGAATTGTCGCATAAGTTTTGGTGTATCACAAAATAAATTGCCCTTGAACTCTTAAGAAAGCGGCATCCTGTTTGTTTCCTTTATTTTACAAAAGCACAACGATTTGTTTTTATTGTGAATGTACACAAATAAAGGAATATTTAGAATAGTTTTGAATAATGTCTTACTCACATATGACCACAAATGAAGGAGTATAGTAACACCGTGTCTACACCTGACGCGACAATTGCCTCGCCACTCATGTCTGGTGTAGATGATGTAAGTTGTTTCCATTTTTAAAAGGAGACAAAAAAAACAAGTGATTGTGTCACTCGCGCACTCGCGCAGCTAAGCATTACTAACTGGACATTGTCATAATAAAATACAGTCAGCCAACATTGAAAACCTTAGTTCCCCAGTTCCCCTCTCTCCACAACAAATAGGCCTATACTTTAAATTTAACGGTAGAACAGAACAGAAATAAAAAATATAAGAAGCTACTAACAAGCCAAAACTAATTAATTAAAAAGTTTGTACTTCATGTTCCAACATCCACGTAAAACAAAATGTGCTTGGCATAGTAATGTCACGGGGGTATGGTGGCCACGCTGAACGGCACGGACTACAGGCTATTTAAACTGAGCAGTGCAGTGTAAAAAATAACATAAATGTAGGCTACTAAAGGAACATCAAATTAAGGTAAGTATGTTTGAGAGGTAACTTGTCTTTTTCTTACCAAATATAAAATAATTTTAGATGCAATAATATGAATATGATTTAATGCGCTTTTGAACTACAGGGAAAGGGTGCTTTAACGTGAGCAACACCATGACCACGGACGCTGGATATAGGCTAATTCTGCCATGTGACACCACATTTATTTGCGTTAAAGCCCCTTTTCTCGACAAAAAGTGTTTCCAGCTGGATATAGGCTAATTCTGCCATGTGACACCACATTTATTTGCGTTAAAGCCCCTTTTCTCGACAAAAAGTGTTTCCAAAATTTTTTTGCAACATTTGAAGTATCGATATAGAATTTATGCGCTAAAGTTAAACGGAAAAAATAATGTCGACACATGAGAAATTTTATCGATAATTTCCATCAACTATATCGGTAAAAATTTTGAAGCGCTAAATATTTTTTCATTAAAAATCCTTGGATGGAAACCTGGCTAGAGAGGGAATCTGCGTCTCATTCAGCTCGTCTGCTGTTTCGTTCAGATATGTTTTATTTAGTATAGTTTCACAACACTAAAGTCAGACCATTCTGTTTTTGCTTCAAATTTCGAAATTATTCAGTCTAAATTAGATTAAAAACTGCTCATGTTGCATGTATGCCGCATCTTTGTTTGGATCATGATTAAAATCCAGTGGTTGCCTCTAATTTTAAATGGAAAGAGCACAGACAAAGCCTTAGTTTGTTCAGATTAAGAGATCTCTTTTATTTGTGTTTGATTTGGGGTTTGTTTTAAAATGTCTATTTATTTTTGTTATATTTCAATTTCACAAAGAAACATGCAGCAATAGCCTAATAAAGCAACACCTTTTCATTTACTGTATAATGTCTTCAATCTCATTTTGTTAAAAAAAAATTGTGAGAAAATAGAACCGTGAAATCAAAATCGTGAATCGAATCGAATCGCGAGTTGAGTGAATCGTCACATCCCTACAAATAACACATGTGAGCATTTTAAATGTACACACTCATACACACATCCACATTCGGCATGTGTTAATACTGTAGCTCATGTGGCATTTACTGTCAGCCCTGTTAATATGTGTTGTGAGGTAGTTGTATATCTGGGTGTGGAGTGCAGACCTGTTTGGGAAAATCCCTCGGTCATTTGCAACACCTCAGGCATCTTTTATTACCTGTGGTTTTAAATTCTCTCAGATGGGCCATGTGTGCAAGCCCATGTTCTTAATGTTGCCACACATAAAGAGGTTAATAACTTTTCTGCTGTTTTAACACAAAAGTACGGTGCCCGTAAGGTGACATGTTCGGTTCACTTAGTTTTTTTGTGGCCACGACATAATAACTCGTGGGAACGTGATAATATGTCGTGGGAACGTCATATTAAGTCGTGGGAATGTGATATTATGTTGTGGCCACGAGATAATTTTGTCGAGGTAACAACATCCATTTCTCGTGGCCATGACTTCTTATGTTGAGGGAACGTCATCCATTTCTCGTGGCCACGAGTTTAATGCATAAACAAACCTGCGTGACCATAGCAACCCCGGATTATGAGAGATGGATTCATTAATATTTTATTTTGAATTAAGAAATGATTATATTATTTATTATAGAAATTATTATATTATTATATTAACCATATAGGCCTTGGCTACCGGGCTGTATTACGTGCGATTGTCAGCATTCAGATGAAGTTTATCATGAATAAATGTTACATAAAGTGCATAATATAAAATAGGCCTACACAAAAACTTTTTTATCCATCCTATAGTCTTGTAAGTCCATTAACTGATCGTATTTTTCCCATAATATTTGTATATTATTATTATTATTATTAGCCTATTATTGGTTATATTTTTATATTTGTTTATATTCATTTTTTCCCTTTATTTCGATCTCTTTACTTAACGTTCTGAATACTTTTGTAAATAATAGCCTACTGTAAATGCTCGACATGCCAATAAAGCTTTGATTATGCTGACTAGAATTGTTTCTGGAATGCAGTTTAACATTTATTTCGGCTAATTAATAGACCATAATTATAAATACTATAGTGTTTCGTTAAGGAATTAATCATTCACGTAGTTTCATTTGTAAATGAAAACACAACACGCTCGTTTATCATCACACATGGGCATAAATACAATGATAAAGTCAAAACTTTATTGGCATAATTGTCAGACGTTTATTTACAAAATATATGGTAGGCTAGCAAATGCTAGCATAATTATACAATACGTTAACTAGGTAAAGCAATACACAAATTGAAAGGGGAAATAAGCATATATAACAATAAATATAGCCCTAATAAGTTAATGTAATAATAACAATAATAATATACAAATAGCCTATTAAATTAATTGTTTAATTTTAATAAAAATGTTTTATCTATTTTTGATAATCCCAGGTTGCTATGGTCACGCAGGTTTGTTTACACATTATACTCGTGGCCACGACAAAAATATGTCGTTCCCTCAACATAAGTATGTCGTTACCTCGACAAAATGATCTCGTGGCCACGACATAATATCACATTCCCACGAGTTAATATGACATTCCCTCAAATTATTATCTCGTGGCCACGACAAAACTAAGTGAACCGAACATGTCACCTTACAGGCACCGTACAAAAGAGGTCTGAGATGAACATTAACATTATGTTAACATTAATAACATTTTGATAGTGTTAAAAAGAGGTGTTGTCTATAAATGAATTTCTTGTTTACTCACTGTCATGTTTAATAAATAAGGACTAAGGGATTTGAGCTTCAAAATAACAAAAACACCAAAAAAAAAAGTATGATAAATGGTCTGGTGATGACTATTTAAAAATGTAATTAAAAAATGTTGAGGTCTCTTGAATTGAGCTCCATAATGGCATTATTCTTCTATAGAGCTGTGTTTGAAGTCGTTTCATAATTTATGAACATTGCAGCAGTGACACTGTTATTAAACTAAATTCAATCAACACCTAATCTGAATTGAGCTGAAAAATACTCTGCTTTACAGCTGAAATTGATTTATTGGTGATTCAGACCAATCCAGTTCTCAAATTCAACTCAGTGAATCTGGTTGTAGTAGTTACAGCATACTGGAGATGAATAGGATACTAGATTGTTTGTCACACAAAGGTATTTTCAGCTCAAAATAACCCACAGATCATTTAAGAAAATGCCTATTTTACATAGAAGCAGAAACACGCTGTTTTTCGTGCATGCAAATGAGCTGCTGCTCCCCGCCCCCTTTTCCAGATTAGGGCTGTGCCTTTACAGCTCAGATACTCTGCCAAAACAAATCATCTGTTTGCTTTTGATTATTTTGATTCGAAGCACGCACACAGAAAGCGGCTGTCACACGGCATGTGAGCACTAAACTAAGTTCTCTTATATGTCTTATCATGTAATTTTCATATTACCGTATTGACCCGAATATAAGACAATGTTTTTTTCTTGGAAATTTATCTGAAAAAACACGCTCGTCTTATATTCAGGGTCTAGAGTCTAGACTTTGACAATGGCAATAATACACCCACAACAATAGGTGGCACCAAATACGCATAAAACGAGTGTGCCATGAAATACATAATGTAATGCGTGTTGTAAAGATCGCAAGTAAAACCTTACAGCTGCATGAGTTGTGACTGTCATGTTAGCCTGATGGGACCAAACTCCCTTTGTGATTTTAAAATGTAAGACAGTGCCTAGATTTGAAGTCTACAGTAAGATTTAACTTCTACTGTTAATAAGATTTTGGTAGGTTGCTATTAGATGGATAGCCTAAATGTCCTAATTCAGATGGGCTACCTGTTTTTTTTTTTTAATGGTATATCAAAAAGTGTATATTTTTTAAATGTGATTGTTGGTACATTTTACCAGTTTTTACCATACTTTCAAAACAAAAATTAAAATAGAAAAAATATGCAATATGAAAATAATTGAAGACAAAATGTGTTTTACTGAGAAAAAAAACAAGATTTGGTTTTTAAAAAGCCTTTTTCCAAAAGGTACATCTGGAAAAAGGGGGGTAGTCTTATATTCGGGCCAATACGGTAAAAACACATAAGTTACAAGAACACAGTCTGTTATGTCTGTGAACACAAACAGCTGGGAAAGAAATTGCATGTTAATTATATTAGATATGTGTATTAAGTGACAGCAGCGTAATATACATTACTTATCCTGCTGTCGACGCTGTGAATATGACCCAAACAATAAAATAAAAACAGAAAACGACTTCACTGCTCTGGACTGAATAACCTCTATAGGTTTAATAAGAAGACATTTCTTATACGGCAGTGTCCGTCAACAGTCGTGGGTGGGGCCTGTGAAATGTGACGTCACTTTTTACAGATTCTGCAAACGGCTTGTTCTGAGACACTGCTTATGATTTATGGGGATTAAAAAAAGGAGTGGATTTTTATCATTATAGGGTGGTTGTGTACACACACTGCCAACACACATTTATGTTCAAACAACATGTAAAAGTAAATTTTGCATAATAGGTGCCCTTTAAAGAAAAGCTCCGGGAAATCTACCTTGGTCTCCCTTCACTTATTTCCTATTTGGGATTTTGACTTTATGTTCAACTTTAAGTACTAAAAACCAAATGTTGTCTTTTTGTAACCAAAAATTCTTTGTAAAATCCTTAGAATTTTGTCATCGAAGGCCCCCCAGGTCCAATGGGATTTTCAGGTCCAGTTGGCCCCAGAGGTCCAGATGGATTTACTGTATGTATTAAATCTATATATCTATCTAGAATGTCTACAAAGACCATCTCTCTACAGACTGTAATTTCACTGTTCTCTCCCTCCACAGGGTGCGCCTGGTCCACCTGGTCCTCCTGGACCTCCAGTAAGTTCAGCTAAGGGAACAGTTTTGAAATAGCATAGTTTACATTGCATAATCCTATCATGTTTAACATGTCTTCCTCCTGTCAGATGGGGGGCAGTATGTAAACATATACAGTATGTACTTCTGAGCACTAGCACTTGATTTGGAATGAAAGTAACTAGTGCAATCATTACAGATGCATTAAGTATTATAATTGTCTGCTTTAAACTGTAGCTCCTGAAGTGTTAATTGTTAAGTATAAATGTCCTTTAGTAAAAGTGATCTCTGACTCGAGTATGGCTGAAATAGCCATACATAAAGGTTTGCTGAATGTCTCTGCTTATTCTACAGGGAAGTCCAGGTCAGGACTTCAGAGGAGAGCCAGGAGAAAAGGTATGGGTTTCATCAGCTTACAAACTACTAAGCATTCCTCCACACACAACTGCTTTTAGTTTTCACCATTAGTGTCATTAGGTTCAGATAATAGCCTCATTTCATCCAATACTTCAACATATTTGTTGCATAAACACTTAAGATGCATTTTAGATATAGATCTTTAGCTGAGTCCTGGGTGTTTGCTCATGTTTGTTTGATTGTCTTAATGAGAGCATTTTTTCCTCTCTACTGAAGGTGTATTGCATGTGTTTGTTGGTGGTTGAAAACAAACACTTCTCTGAGTGTCTCTGATGTTAAAGACCCCAATACATTTTTTGATGACCAAATTTGTCTGTCTTATGACATTTTTCCTATTTGACATTTTTATTATGACATTTTTCCTATTGAAACAGAAAGTCTTGGCAGGATATATCAAATGGCTTGTCCCTTTGTATTTTAATTTGACTTTAATTATGGTATGTCTCAGTCATTAACCGTTATTTTGTACTTGCTGGTTGGTTGCAGGAGAGAGGCGTTCTTATTCTAAAGAGCATTCAACTGGACAGAAGTCTGTGTTGTGCAAGATGTATTATCAATATCTTTACTTTCTTTCCTGGAAGAGAAAGACTGTAAATCCAAATGCTTATTTGTGAATATTTAGGAATACACAGCATATAGATGGCCTGAAAGCTAAAAGACATGGACTAAAAGCCCCAAAACTCTCATTTTGGTTTCATGGGGTTCTACAATCTATATGTTCAAGTATTGAATGTTTTTTCATATATCTGTAAAAAAAATTAAAAAAAATCTTTAAAGAGTCTGGCACACTCAGAGAATGGTTATAGTGTAACATTCAGTTCAAATAGTGTTTTAGTCTGCTAGGAGTCTGATTAATAACAAGCTAGCTAAGGAAAGGATATTGTGCCTTGCACAATAACACTGCATCATTCTTTCATTCTTATCATCTTACCCTTTATCGTCTCACTCTAGATTTTCTTCTTGTCTTCCCTTTCTCCAAAATAGTTCTGTACTCCCAGCATGCCTATCTTGTTCCATTTATGTTTTAACCCATCTGCAGTATGTTTCCACTCATCTCAACACACACTACACATAAAAGCCTTTTCCTGTAAAGGAATGTATCCTTATGGTATGTTCAATGTGGTAAATGCTGTTGAATCTTACTAAGCATGGTAACACTACAATTTGGAATGTATTTTCCTCTGCTTTTAAATAGCAGTTCACAGATTTCATAGGTGTACAGAACACTCCCGACAGTGTCTGTATACCTTGTAAAGCCACTCATACTGCGCGTGAAGTCTCTGAGCTGCTATTCATTTTGCTGTTTTTGAGTGGTTTGTGCTGGTGTTGGAATCACCTGCTCCAGTCTTCTGTGTGCCTTTGTTTCCTTTGGTTGGGACACTTAACCCACAGAACTCAAGAGAAAACAAGGACCAGCTAGTTCTATATTCAATTAATTGAACTTGTCAGATAAATCTATGAAATAAATTCAAAATAAAGCAGTGGCAGCAATAATATGCATGCATTTGTAGCAGTAAATATTACAAAAGGAGCCCTTAGTCCTGCTGCTCTCACTTTTCATTTCACCTATCATTCTCTATTACTTCTTTCCTGTTTATTCTCTGTAAAAATCACTCTCTTTATGTTTGTCTTGTTTTCCAGTAAAAAATGTAAATAAAGACCCCATCAAATCAAAATTAGAGTTTTGTGGGCTTTAGTCCATATGTGTTAGCTTTGGCACCATCTATATGCTAGTGTACTCTAAACATTGACGTTAAAATTAAAGCAGATATACAGTACGAATTTACAGTTTTTCTATTCTGGGGAAAAATGACCAAAAAGGCTGATGACTCATTCTGCATTTCTGGAATGAAATTTTAAACCGAATCTCACAGAAATGTTAAACTACTGACCAGCAAATAGCAAATTATGGTTCATTGCTGTGACATAACTGAAGCCTTTTCTTCAAACACTTCATCAATATGTCAAATGTCCTAAAATAAAATAAAAAATAAAAGGCAACATGAGAAAATGCATAAAACGTCATTCATCAAACAATGAAATGGGTATTTCACATACACTAAATTTAAAAGCAGTATTGCATCAGATGAAGACTTTTCAGAGAAGTTGTCTTGAATTGCGTCCATTTTTCTTACACAAAACAAAACTTGCTAATGGGGTGAGAAATATGAACAGGATAAATATTAAGAATGTTGGGACATTTTTACTGGAAAATAAGACAAAAATACTGATAAAAATCTGATTTCTGCAGTGTTTCTTCTGCCTTGTTGTTCTCACACTCTTTCACTACCCTTTGTTTTCAGTCCCTTTTCTTTTATCTTAACATTTTTACTGTCTCTCTCGCTCTCTCTCTCTCTCTCTCTCTCTGT